TGAGGGAACTCAGGTGTCAGGCATGTGCAAGCAATCACAGTATTCACTCAGAGAGATCAACGAATACAGTGAGCATCCGTTGCCTAAGAAACCATAGCAACTTCTCAATTATTCTGTTTTCACTGCAGAGAATTTGTGATACTAAGGAGTACTACCCTTGGAGAGAGCAGATCTGGGTTTAAACTTGGGCTCTGCTACAGCCTCACTTTAGGACTAGACATAATTATTCTGAGCTTGTAAAATAGTAGGAGTTAATCCTGAGGATTAACAAAGATAATGAACATGAAAGTACAATGCCTGGTACACAATAGGTGTCCAATAGCTACATGGTACTTATTATTATGATTATTAAACATGCACTGAAGGTAAGTGTAGGCAGTTTGTAACTGCAATTGGTCTGGCACTTATTCTAGTGAACAATAGGATATGGAGCTAGTCATCGCTGTGATTTCAAAAACTATTCATTTTTCACTAATACTTTATTTCTTGCACTGTACATTCTTCCCACTTTCTTTACCCACCTCCTAATAAATCATGACCCAATAGTTCCTACCTTAGGCGAATGACGTATCCTTTAAATTAGTAAGAGTCATTATCTGCAAGGCTATTTTATCTCTACAANCTTTTTATAAGCAAGAAAAATAAGAGATCCCAGCTCAGAGTTATGAGATTAATAACTCTATGTATGTCACACACTTAAAACAATGTCTAGTGGATAGTAAGAGCTCAAACTGTAAGTTGTAGTTGTAGTTCTTGGTATTAGACATAACAATTCTACTTCTAGAAGCACAGTTTCAGGAAATAAGTGTTTTAGACAAAACTACATATAAACAGATGCTGTTTTATTTCTAAGAACAAACTTAGAAGCAGCTTAAGTTTCCAACATAGAGGACTGGGCAAATAAATTATGATACCTCCATACGGGGGAAATATTGTGCTAATGTTTTTCGAAGACTCTTTTATTACATTTAAAAATGGTCTTGAGAGAATCTATTAAGTGGGGAAAAGAATACAAAATTATACTACAAGCTAAATGTATATGCATGTACAGAGTAAGTATATACAATAAAGATAATTATACACGTGTATATAAATGGAAATATCTATAAGTAGAAATATATATTTATCTAAATAAAAGAATATATAAATGAAAATACATAAAAACAAAAGCTAAGAAGGTAAAACACAAAAATGTTAAAAATGGA